TCCTTTAGATTCATTTATAATCATAGTTTAATGCTTGATGCATTATATAGATTTGATTATATTATACTCTCCCACCCATCATTCTTAATAAACTTTATTATAATTATCCTGACCAAGTAACTTATTATAACATTATTAAGCACTCACCAGCTCTCCCAAGGACTCATAAAAAATGGTAACAATATTATATTAATTTCACTTTCATTTATAATAATTCTTAATTTATTTAATTGCTCAAAAAATTCAGTATCAAATACCAATGCATGAACAAGTTCTACTTGTTATAATATGATATTATATTGATTCTCTAGTAACTAGATATATGCAAATTTAAATATATGGAGGTGAGTCAACAGAAACCAAGCAAATTATATATATATTACATATATAATTTGCTTGGTTTCTGTTAACTCACCCTTATATTATCATATCATTTATATTGATCTGGCTCTAACTGTGACCACCAAAAATGGATTTGCTTTTGTCTAACTAATAAATTTATACTCTTACTAATAAAACGTGCATAAATCTCTCTTGAAAAAAAATTTATATTATTTTTTATAAAATCTTTGATATTTTGTGTTATAGACATATTCACTAATTTTTTATGTAAAATTCTATGATAAAGAATTACTTTGATCATTTGTGTAATTTCATTGATTGAGATCTTTATAAAACTTCCACAATCGAATTTCTCTATAGATGTAATATCTTGTTGTTTCACTATATCAGGATGTTTATGTAATTTCTTTGCTAAAATATCTCTGAGAACAGAAATATCAATATATAATTAACTTCTTACTTACATATTGATGGTGATATATCCAATTATAATTATCTGCATCTTCAATCAATTCAATAATTTCATTCACGATCTTCTTAGTTGAATTATTATTGTTTGTGACAGATTAAAACGAAACCAGATTATAATAAAATCAAATCAAAATAAAATTTGGATCTATTTTTATGGAATAAAAATTTCAGAGAAGGGTTAGGGTTAGGTTAGAGCATAGGGTATAGCATTAAAATCTGTAGTAAATTGACCTATGATTATTTAAACATCACACTCTGTTTCGTTTTAATCTGGTTTCATTTTAATCCGCCACATTGTTTATTTTGCAATGGAAATGAAATTCCAGACCATTTAATGATAAATCCTCTAATTATATCATTCAAAAAATTCATATCAATAATTTCTAGTTGGTCATCAAGTTGACTTTCGCCTACTTCTAGAGCTCTCTTCCATTTTTCAGTAACTTTTTGATGACAATTGTTACAAGTTCAAAATTGTTTTGAAACACCTTTAGCATTACACCTCATAAACTCAGTTAAAGGTTTGAAGTTTCTGCAACCATTACAATAAGAAGTCGAAGAGGATTCCATTTTTATAAAAAAAAAGTTAACGCAAAAAAGAGATTGCAAATTGACATTGACGCGAAAAAACGCGACTTATTAATACTGATGTGAATATCAGAACTTTTGTGATATAACGTGATCATTACTAACGAATAAAGAAATAAATGTGCAAAAATAAATTAAAAGTCGATAACGAATAAAGAAATTAATAGTTTTAACGAGATGTAAGTCTAGCAGAAGTAATACATGTTTAGAGGGATTGAGAAAACCTTATTCTTTGGCCAGCTTTAGTTTTATAACGAGGGTTGATGGGCGCTGTCTCACGCAAGTAATGGGTACAAGAGAGGGTATCCCATCAACCCCAAAACCTAACTAGCCACTGCTGAACCCATTGATTAGTTGATAGTTAGTGAAAAAGGTCTATTCTGTTAGCGAGTGTATTGGTGGGAGGGGAAGGAGAGTTCATTGTATTAACGAGTAGTTAATAGGTTTCAGCACCATGAAAAGCAAATTACAAACTTCCGTTTGTTGATAATTAACAATGTCGTTGCGTTATACAATATATCATTATTGCATCATTCGAGAAATCGACGAATCGATTCCGACGTGAGTGTTACGTGTGATGGCATTTCTAAGAAAACTCGTTCGACCTCACCCCTCTTTTCACTTTTCACTCTCCCGCCTCTTTCCTCGGTTCCTATCAGATGCACCATCTTCGAAAACTCTTAAAATATTTTCAGAAGGGTCATTTGTTGATTTAAGACAGGAAGGTGGTTATTATTTGGATAAGACTCACTTTATCTCTAAAATAGAGGATCTTAATGCTCGTGCGATACTCTCCCTACGTCCTCGTCGTTTCGGAAAAACACTATTCCTCTCTACTTTGTCCTCTTATTATGACATAAAAAACAGAGAACGATTCAAACAACTTTTCGGGGATTTATACATCGGCAAAAATCCTACACCATCGGCATCTTCATTCCTCATCCTTAACCTCAATTTTGCTGGACTTCGTACTAACGAAACATACGATGTCTTCAATGCGAACTTTCACACAATTTTGAATGTGAATATATCAGACTTTATGGATCAATATCAACAAGAGTTGGGACGCCATTTTCAAGTTATTGACGAAAATACAGATGCTTTGGGGAATTTTGAAAGGTTACTGAATGCTGTAAAACGGAGTGGTCACAAGGTATTTTGTTCTTTGTTCAGTTAATCATTTCTATTCAGAAAACTAATATTCTTTTGCGCCTTTAGCTCTATCTTTGCATCGATGAATATGATGCTGGTATGAACGAGGCCCTTAAAAATGAAACCATCTTACAACCTCTTATCGCTCATCATAGTTCCTCAGTTCAAAGTAAAGTAGAAAAAATCGAGAGTTCGTTCAAACAATTCTACAGTCGTTTGAAGTACGCTTGTGATGGAGGCATAGCTCGTGTTTTCCAAACTGGTGTGACCCCTATCGTTATGGCCGAATTCACCTCGGGTTTTAATATTTCGGTAGATTTGGCGCTAGACGAAGAATTCTGGGACTTGTATGGGTTTAAGAAATTGGAAATTGAGTTTCTCTTGGATAAGGTTTTCGGAAATAGTTTATCAGATAATATTAAAGAGGGAATAATGTCATGGTTAAAGGAGGAAAATGATGGGTATTTTTTTCATCGTGATCAACCTGAAGGGATTTTCAACACTGCACGCGTCCTGTACTGTATCAGGATGTTTATGAAACAAAAGAAAAAATTGGAGTATAGTGGGGATCCTTCAGTCGTCCTTAATACACTTCTTAATTTTCCCCCCGACCCGCAAACATTACCCTTTCAAACAACATTGAACCTAATTTTCAATAATCCCCTCGGCAAATCCATCCTTACCGAAGCACTCAATCGACGTCCTCTCGAATCTAGAAATGGCATAGAACAACGATTTCGACTCTCCAATATTCGCGAGCTAACAATCGACCGTACCCCGTTATTATCATTCATGTTCTATACTGGAGCCATCACATATCAACCAAACCCATCGCCCATATCATTACAACACAATTTTCGAATCCCAAATCGTATTGCCGAGGGTGAGTTTATCTCAGAAGCGCTTAAGATTTATGACTGGAAAAAGGAGGATTTAGTACCTGTACGGAATTGTCTGCAGATTTTGGAGGCAGAAGATAACATTGAGCCTCTTTGCCGATTTATAGAGGAAGCTTTACTAAAACCATTGAAGGACAATAGTGTTAAGCATTCAAATGAAGAGGCATTGAAACAAGCTTTTATGGACACTTTAATTCTCACTCTCCACGCAGACATTGAACCAGAATTTCAGGTGTATTCTCAGAGCTCGAGTTTTGGTAGAAAAGCAATTGATTTAGTGAAGATAAGTACCAGAAAAAGGATAGCAATCGAATTTGATAATATTAAGATGGAGAACATTAAATTAGACAAAGCTCGAGGTAGTTGGCAGGAAGCGACAGAGGTGTCACGATCGTTATTGGAAAAATCAGAGGAGGAAATTTTAAAACTAAAAATCAATGATCCATACCGGAGAGATCAAAAGACAGTTGAGGAAGCTTTGAAATGGAAGATTGAAAAGAAAAGCCGAGAATATCTCGAACCATTAAAAAATCGACAAGATGCAGATTTGAAATGTATGTTTGTTATTTTGAGAGTTGGTTTGCACCGTCTAATTAGCAGGAAAGTTTATGATGTTAATGAATAACGTGTAGAATTTAAAACATGATTGCATCTTATATTAATCACTGTAAATAAGGTTTCGCCCATCCCCATCTGGGCTTTTGAATTAGCCTTTCTTTATACGTGATTTTTAATAAATAATAGACTATTTTAATCATGAGGGTGTGCATATAATCATCCAAAAATTAACGATTGCTTATACTTTCTCATGTAGCTAAAAAAATAAAGTTTTCCTAATCTTGTATTATAGCCAGTCAATATAATGATTCGTGCGTAATTGCACAAAAATATGATGTAGTTTTTCGAGACAGTTTCCACCAAGTGTTATATACATGTATAATAATAAAATGATCTTATTTAATCGCTATATACAAGGGGGGGCGATAATGTAAATTTATTTCCTAAAGTTAAGCTAATAATAGCACGATTACGACTCATCGCGGTTGAAACACGGCTCGATCACGACTGATAAAAATAACGATTTCCCTATATAATTACATGAATCACAGTACGATCACGGCCCATCACGGGCTACATCACGGTTGATTACAAATGCGGATATAGGAAGTTTCTCATCTTTGATGATATAGTCGCGATTATTTTTTTTCTTGGCATTTTTCAGCGACGGGCCGTCGTCAAAATTTTAATTACGTGAATTTAACTTCGGTACTTTATGTTGATGTCTGCACAATAAAAAGATTTTGCTTTCTATATAAAGTAATATCGAACACTCAATCCAAAATTGATTCGTTGAAAGAATTAAATTCGAAGCTTTTAGCCATGATTACTGAGCTTAGAAAGGAAAATACCGAGCTTTCTGAACTTAGAAAGAAGAATGTTGTGCTCTTGGCTAAGGAATAGAACTTATGGCTAGAATTGTGAAGTTAGAACAATCTGCAAAAGAAAATGCTGAAAATGTCAAGTTAAGAGATGCTGAGCTTAATATCAGAATCATGGAACTAGAATGGTTGGCAAAAAAAAATGCTGAGCTTAGGAGCAGAGTCACAAAATTGGAACAGAAGCAACGCAAAATGATATTACATATGAAGTGATATTTGAAATGACTACTATTCATTCATCCAAGCTTAAATCATTAGAAGAAATAGAAACTGATACTTTTCTGAATTTAAAAAGTAAGAAAGAAATGAGTAATATAATGAGATAAAGAAACAAAGAAAAGAAACTGCAAACTCAAGAGTCACATAATATTTCTTTGTCAATATCAACTCCACTGATATCATCTGAAGTATCAATTTTTGATGAAGATAATTTATTCAAAATCATATTTCAAAGCAATAATATTAATGTACCTGAATCTCAATACCAATATATTTTGATCTTATCAAAATTGTACAAGAAAAAGAGAATAGAAAATATCATGTAAGCAATAGCTAATGATATTTAAGATAATAATCTTCCAAATTTAAATTATGTAATTGAAATTTTAGTGACAATCTGTTATTAAAATTGTTTTACAATTCCATTACTCAATTTAGTGTAATTATTTGATAAAGTAACTGATGTTGAATATTATGCTGTGAAAGCTAACCAGAAAGAAATCTTATATTGTTATCATTTTGATTGACTTTCGAAATACTCAAAGGTATTTATAAATATTAAAGAAATATTCAAAGAGAATTTTCAATGTCTTAATAACAATTCAAAATATTAATAATACTTTATAATTATTAGATTGAATATGAATAAGTACTAAAAGTATTAGTAACAAAATCACTTAAAAAGGTTGATAACATTGTGTTCTTTAAACATAATAATTTGAATTACTAAAAAGATTCTTCAAAATCTCAGAGTCAAAGTTATAAAGATTATAATATTTGTATTATTAACAATATGAGATCGAAGGTGAATAATATATTATCAGTAATACAATGTTGAAAATAAGTTTATGAGTAATATATTATCAGCAATACAATCTCAAAAACAGATTTATGAATTATAATAATAATTTCTTTATTTAATATAATATTCAATAGGTTTTGTCACAAATGTATTTAAATAATCTAGTATTAAAATGAAAATTTTATAGTGCTCCTGGCAAATGTGCTTAAGCTACTATAATATTTATTCAAGATCTGTATAACACTTATAGCAACAGTGCTGAAGCAATTATACAAAAAACAAGAATACTTTGTCAAAGAAATTGTAGAGAGAAGTTTGCACTTGATTACTTACTTTATATAAAATGCAAATTTTGCTCAATTAAATGATCAAAACTACATAATAACTAGCTATAAGATGATAATTAAGAATATTATTATCGAAGGACTTGTTCTAATCTAATTCTAATAGCTATGATACATGTTGCTTTTATATAAATTCAAAATATAATTCATCAGCTATATAAATTCATGTTCACTAAATCACTTAGATTCTATTAATCCAATATTCATTTATTCATTCGCTCATTTGCTTATTTATTTACTTGTTTATTTGTTTATTTACTTATTTATTTGCTTGTTCTATGTGATTAGATTCTTTCAATAAGATATAAGATATTTATAATCCAATAATATTAAATATGAATGATCCAGTAAAATATTTGATCAAAGTTTGTTATATAATAGGATTCTTGCTGTTAAGATTTTGTTTCATAAAATTAAAATGCTCAAATATCTTTTCTTTTAATTAATCACTAGATTTTTGACTTATTTTTCCAATTATTTTTAGAGTTAAATATTTATCTATTCTATATGATCAAAGTATATCTTTATGATCTTTGAAATATTGATAAAGTCGTAAGATTAATATATATTTTGAAGTAACATCTATGATGCTGATCTTATTTTTAAATAATTATTTAGATTCAGAATGTTATTTTCTAGATAACTTATAATTACTAGTGAGATTTGATAATATTCTTTCAATTTTATAATAAATTGAAGATATTTGTAATAATTTTCATATACTCTTGTAATTTTTTGTATTATATCTATAATTTTTTATGTTATATTTATTATTTTTTGTATAACATGTTAGAAATTAATACAGATTTATATTTAATACTTCTTAATGTTTTACCAAATAAATTAGATGTAAAATATAGATCACATTATTAATTTAAATACACTTTGTTTTTAATTACTTTTCTTTTTATTCATTCTTTTTCTCTTTTCATTTATTATTTTAAATTTGTGTTAATTATTTTTATTATTATTTATATTTTATACATATCTCATTATGTACAATATAACTTGAAGATGTATCACCTTTAAGATTAATAATTTAGAATTAATCACCCTCTATTTTATTATTAATTTATTTGTAATTTGTTTAATATTAATTATATATTTAAATATCTTTGTTCTGTACTATAGCTCTTTAGATCTTTTCACTATTTAATAAAAAAGAAATAAACTTTATTAAAATTAAAATTGAAAACTATCTCAATTGATATAATTTATTTATAGCAATTAATAAATTTATCTTATTACTTTTCATGTAAAAAAGTATTCTTATAATATTGTATATTGTCATGATATGACTTTTGATGAACAATCTTATTGGATAAGATTTATATTAATTATTATTGGATTATATATATTAGTATTTCTATTGGATAGTTATTTTTAGATAGTTATTATTTTATTGGACAATTATATGTTAGATATTATTGGTTCTTAAGTTTGTGTTAATACCAGCAATGATAGCAATGACAGCAATGATAGCAATGACAGCAACGACAGCAATGATGACAATGATGTCAATACTCGTGTTAACATCAGAAATGCTGATAACACTTGTGTTTAATTAACTTAACGACAACAACAATAAAATCAGCTATATCATATAACATGTAATTTATATAAATATACCATGTATCTTAGCTTAGAAAAAATGAATCAAGTTTGAAAATTAATCAAGTCAGATAATTAGTCAAGTTAGAAAGTTAATATTTGAGAAGTTTCTTGTTTGATAGAAACTTGGATAACTTGTATAGTTATATTTGTATTGATTTTTGGTCTTGAAAGATAGATCGCTTATAATAAACTATTGTTATTAACTTGAAAGACAATCGCTTGATAAAACTTATTACTTGTATTATTATCTTTAAAATTCTAAATAATATACAAAACTTAGTGAAGTTATTGAACGTTATTCTAGCTCATCACAACAAGAACACATATTACCTATCTTTAGTGATAAATCTTAGTCTCTCCCATTATAAAAACTTAATCTTTTTCGCTCTTATATTAATAAAATACGTGATTAATACATCAAGAACTTAATATCAATAAAAATGGTAACAATATAAAATTTACAATAAAATTTAATAATAATAAAAATAAAAATAATTTAGATGTCACTAAGTAAATTTTTAATTTTTACTAAATAATATATAATTAAATCTTTTTATAGTCACATCTATTTATAATTACACCCCTCTATAGTCACCCTATTTTGCTTTTCTATTTACATATAAATATAGTAAAAAAATTCCTCTATAGTCACATTTTCTCTATAATCACCAAATTTTGCTTTTCCAAGGGTGATGATTATAGAGGGATTTGACTGTAATTAATATTTATAATTAAAATTATAACTCTTACTTAAAGTTATAATACTCTAATTAAACTTGAACCAGACTTGAACTTGCATAATAGTTCAATTTGAGTTCAGTTCAAACTTTAAACTTTTCTTAAACTCAAGTTAAAGTTTGATTTAAGTTTAATTCAAAATTTGAATCAGATAAAAGTCCAGTTTAGTTTAATTTATAAGAATACTAATTGTATATAAAGTCAATTATTTTTTTATAATTAAAATATATAAAAAATAATTGATTTTATATGAAATTAGAATAGCTTTATTAAATTAAAAAAATATATATTAAAATATATAATATTATTTTTATTTTAATATAAAAATATTTATTATTTATTAGTAAAATTAAAAACTTTTATATAAAAAGAAAAATTCATATTTTATTATATTTAATTAATAAATTTTGATGTTGTTGTATTATTTTTGATTGTTAATCTAAGAAAGATAATATTTATATTGAATTTATTTTTATATTTATATTTGTATTTTTATATAGTTAATATTTTGATAATTATCATATTTATTTTTATTAAGTTTTTTGTTAAAGTTATATTCAATTCTGTTATTTTATTATTTGATATTTAAATTATAAGTTTTAATAGTTCGGTAATTTGATCTTTCAATTAAACACAGTTACTCATTATATTTCAGAAATATTATCATAAGTAATAACTCTGAAAATGGTGACAATATGATAAAATTAATAAATTTAAAATAATTTTATTAATAAAACTTCTTTATTATTATATTTTTTATTATTAGTATTTTAGTCAGTGCTTTGCATATAAATTATACAAGTATATAATATAAGAATAATAATATTAGACTATTTTAAGTTTAACTTTTCATTTTCTTTATACTTTTTTAATTAAAATAAAGTACTAATTATATACTAAATAAATATTATTAAAATATTAAAAATATCTTTTATAACTAATACAAAATTAATTAAATATTTTTTTATCTAATTTTTTATTTTATATTATTTTATTTATTTTATTATTTTATTATTTTATATTTTTTTATTTATTATATAATTAATAATAAGAACTAAATTAGAAAATAATTATAATATTTAATAAAAATATAAATATAAATAATTATAAATTAAGATATTAAATATAAAATTGAAAATAAAAATTGAAAAATTAATTATTTAATAAAAATATGAATAATAAAATATATTATAATAATATGATATTTATTTATTATTAAAGATTACTTTTTAACTAATTACAACTTGTAGTAATTAATCAAAAAATTGTAATAAAGTTATAGTAATCAATCAGAATTATAATATAGTTATAATTAATTGTAACTCTCATTATTATTTGTTATTTATTATAATATATTATAACTAAATAATATATTATTTATTATTATATTACAATAATTATTATATTATTTTTGATTATAATAAATTTCAAAACTTAACAAAGTTTTATTATTTTATTTATTAATAGTTTATTATAATTTTAGCAAAGTTTTGATAATTACTAAAAGATTTTAACAAGTATATTTTCTCAATTTTAATTTTTATTAATAAAATTATATGTATAATTTTGTTAGTTGCTGTATGTTAATATAAATTAATATAGAATTATTATTAAAATAAAATTTGTATCAACATTAAAATCACTTTAATTCAAATAATTAATTAATTATTTAATAAACTAGCAAAGTCATTTTCTTTTTAATATAGTAAATTCTAACAGAATCAAATATAAAAAACTTATTTTAGAATGTGTTTTTTATTACATTATTTTTTTAATTCATTGTGACACTATTTAAATGTTCATTCAAAGAGTTCTTAATCCCGAATCTAATCGGATGTCTTTTATTTCCTTATGATAAGTCATCAAAGAAGTCTTTAAGATCTTCATTACTCAAGTCCAAGGCTAATGCCAAAGCATATGTCATTATCGCTTCCAAATATTCATTCACTGATCAGCCATACTGAATTGTTGGTGGGATGACTTTGTCCTTATCAGGTTCTAAAATCGGAGAGCTCGGATGAGATGTTCGATCCACCCATTAATCATATCTTTTACTTCAAGGATGTTATCTATTGCCATAATGGATTGGTTGTATATTATGTCATATCTTCAATCGAAAAAATATATTAGAGAATTGTACTAATTAATATGAGTAAACAGGACTATACTGATCAATTTTCGTCATAGACTCGAAATGGTTTTTCTTTGTCATAAGCGGAACAACGCTTTCTGTAGTTCACTACAACATAGTTCTACACAGGAGATTTATGGTTTAGAGGTGAATGTCGAAGGGCTTCCTGGACGATTGTCATAGCATCAGCTAAATTCTTGGCCTCGTGTACTACAACGGCAAACACTGCTCCCATTTTACGTAAATAACGAGATATTAGATCATAGTGTTTAAGTATTCATTGAACCACTTGGTTCCAGGAATGCCAGAGTTTCCTAACCGTCCAGAAGTAATTGCATTCTGAATCAAAGTGAGTAATTTCTTAGCTCGCTCCTCGTTCTTTTCCATTGATCTAAATACTCGATGAGTGTCTTCTTGATCTCTATTTTTTGCGTAGCCGGTTACTTTCCATTAGAAATGCGTAAAGTTCTAATCTCAGCAAAGCGTATACAGAGCATTATCATTACATCAGCAAGGGCTAGTAAGTCAGGTGAATCGATATATCGTATTCACTCAATCTTTCTCTAACTGATTCTAATGCAAAATGATCTGGGTAATTAATACCCACTTTTTCACAAAAGTTACGACGGTCGTTTGAATTTTATTAGCTGAACGTGTTATTCCTGAGTGTAATGTGACAAAGACTATATCGTCTGAGACATTGAGCTTTCGTAGTTCTCTTCGAAGTCGAGAAAGACTGACAAGCCGGCATTAGCATTAGAGGCTGATTCTGCTAAGGCAAGGGATTCAGCTTTTACATCCTCCGTACTAAGATTATCCCGTAAAATACGCTGAGCTAAATCCCATCCCTAATAGTCTCTTCTCTGTTCTTACACAGACCGCTTCTCTGCATAGGGATCAATGCGTCTGTTTGCTCTTTGCTAAATTTATACCCATCTCGAAGTCGCTGGCGTGTCTGTTCTCTCTGTTTTATCTGTCAAAACCTTAAGTAATTCTGGTGCATATTGGCTAAGCTCAGTAAGACTCATTCCTGGATTGAGATTATGGTTTTTAACAAACTTGTTTGCGGTTGCAGACATGATAATAGCATGATCAGATCAAAAATATGTTATCGAGTATTTACTACACAAAATTTATTTTCAATCGAAAAAATCCCTCATTCATAGACTTCGGGATTGGTATATGTTAACCTATGACATGTTCCACGATTTGAAATTTGCAGATAATTAGAATAAGCGAAAAAATTTAGCCTTTGAATGGGGTTCCAGGCTATCTAAGATTCGCGTGATTGATTTTTTAGCGCTTACACATAAACAACTCTCAACATAGCTCTATATATATAAGATATTTATTGCAAATATCAGGTCTATTTTGTAATATATTAATTGGTAGTACATGTACATGTATAATGATCATACGACGAAGTCTACGTGTTCCACACACGAGTAATCTATATTTTCTACAATCTTTGAATAATCTGATATTTTTTTGCGAAATGTTAACCCATTCAAATTAATCCATCGGCCGGTTAATAAATTGAGCACTTTCTTTTGGTAAATTATTTCAGGTGTAATATATATGAAGCATAAAGAGAAGTATGGGTATCGAATAATAATTTATTCAAATTTTATATCGTCTAGTCGTAAAGATCGAACAAATCCTCCTTTACCAAATATCTACCTATAAAATTTACCTTATTCGCTCTTTACCATAGCATACCATTTTCCTGGAGTATGCTTATATATTTTTTCCATTCTTCATCATCATAAACACATACTCGAGATCTATCTTCATCCTCCCATTTACGGAGATATATTTCTTCGCTAATTAATTTTACTCTCCTAGTCATGTAGAAAAATTCCTTAGGGTCATCACCATTTTCTTTGCAAAGGAATAATCTCTGCATCTGACATCATCCTGTCTTGATATTCTCGTGATAAGTCAATGTTCTTCTCTATAATAATCATAAACTCGTCTGGATCCTCGCCGTGATCGATAGCCCATTTCTAAGACGTTCTTCTCGCTATGCTTTGGTCAAGAATGGGGAGAGTGCTTCCTGCTGAAAGAATACTATTTCTTTAACCTGTCCACTCATTTCACCCATGATCAAATGTGATGTATTACTAGTACTAGGTAAATCAAGAATGAGTTGGAATTCATCGTTACTAGACTCGATAAGTTTAGAAGATTCAGAAGGCTCAGAAGCTCCAGGTGTTGAAGCGACTGAAGATTCAGTTTGATCTATCATAAATCGAAAAGGTCTTGGGTCATGTCATTCTGCTCACCCACCTTCTCATTACATTCGAAGCCAGAGTATATATCTTCTCCATTAAGTAAGGCTGACGTATCCTTTTCTGGCAAGAGTAAAATTTCTGGCATATTGAATACAGGGATTTCTGTGACCTTATTAGTGGGCAAGTCAGCTTGAAGTGTATTAGAAAATTCTTCAATGTCACCTACTGATTCACGTATTTTGCTTATAATCTTGGAGCGATTGAGAATATACTGCCACTCTCTTTTTCTACTACCTGCTCGTTTATGCTAAATATTAATCTGTAAGAATTTCTTACTGAGAATGTTACTAGGAAATGGCTTTTCGTCATTGCTTTCACGCCATTCAAGATAATTCTGATGTAATGAAATACAACTTGGCTACTTCATTCTCAGACCATAAGGAAATATGATTAATTATAAATCGGATGGGATTGGGAAGCTGCTCTTGCATTGTTTCTACTTTCATTTTAGTAGTAGGAATTTCTTCAGGACTCCAGTTTGATAGATTATGATTAAGAAAATATGCCATAACTATTCCCGGTGCATTGGAATGAACTAAAATTTTTCCTAACTGGTTAAAATATCCTATATTACCTCTACAGCATGCAGATACATCGAAACAGACTATATGATAATCACCTATATCTATTTAAGTGGGCGTCCTGATTACTTGTAATCATATATTCGGCATAGTCATTGATTCATATAGTCTCAAGACCTTACCCTCTATAGTCATCTTTCCTTCTGTTATAAGAGCTTTGAGATGACCATTAAATCTATATCATTCTCTGCTAGGCATGCCTGTTTCATTCATAACAATAAGCTTTCAGGCTCGGATAACACTATTAAAGCGTCCAAGAATTTTTCCCAAATCTGATTTTGTGAAATGCAAATGTGATCCCAAAACTTTATAACCAATAAAATCAGCAATAATATATTTTCGCATTGTTGCAATGTAAATTTAATACCAGAATTGTTCGAGATTTCTTTTCTGGTTTCTGTACTAAATATGTCCACCTGTTCTAGATATATTCATTAAGCCTTTCATCCACATTACAGATTATATTTTTTATGTGCCAGAGAATAGGATCCATAATTTCAGGATTAATTTTGTTCGCTGGCTTAGCAAGAAATCCCAAGAAAAGATTAAAGAATTCTGTATTTGGCTGAGAAGCATTCAAGGAATATGAAAAAAATTAACATTATTATAAAGTATTAGATCTTTAGTGATTGCTTGATTTATTAAGAAAATTAATTTTATTAATTCACCTTCATATTCGCTTATTTTAATTTCAAACTTAGCGAGATCTAATTTAGGTTCCATACTAGAGATCATTTTCTGAATCTTTACATTTAAGTAATCAAAATCTTGAAGTTGTTTGGATACATACAACTGTTGCTTAAATCATTTCATAAATTTCAATGTAAAAGTATTTTTTATCTGAAGTACACATGCATAATAAATACAAAGCAATCATTCAGATTTGAAATTCTGAATCGTTCTAATTTTATTGGAGCTGGAAGATTTTTTTTCAAAACTATTTCATTGATGGTGAGTTTATCAAAGACCTTCTTGTTCAACTTGATTTGCATGATAACAGTAAAAGCTATAATTTTTTATTTCAAATAATATATGCATTTTTACTAGTATACTTCCAATCATATAATGAACAATATAATAAAAAATGCATGTTAATGAAAAATATCAGAAAAATTCTTTAATATATCAAGTAATATTTTCACCAATTTGAATTCAGCTTGGATGCTTTTATTGTTCGTATTAGAAATTCTGGCTGAATCTGATTCTAAAACAAATAAAAGAAAACTATTTATATATAACTAGTAATTTATCATTGGAAGAATGAATTGCAAAATCAAAAACTATTTTATTTTTTGAATCTATTACTTTTTATCTGTCTATACTTCTTAGTTTTTTTAATAAACTTGAATATTTCAAGTATTTGCAAAGAAAAAGAACTCTTATTTGCAATATTATCAACAAATTTTTTATCTTGCCAAGATTTTGAAAATTTTTACAAACAAGTTTAATGAAAGTTGCAATCTGAGCAATATTTTTAAGTCTCATACTAAAAGTTAGAATATGAAGAAATATTTTTTTGAACTATTACTATTAATAATAGTTAAAGTATAATATTATTATTTTAGATACTGTTATCATTCTTATATAAATAGGTAAAGTATAAACTAATTATAATATTTAATTAAGAATTTATATAAAAATAATAATAGTAATTGTGTGTACTTGAAAGAGTTGAATACTAAATGATTAAAAGAGAGTATAAAAAAATAGATTCTAATACTTCTATTAGTTAAACAAGTATTTTATAATTTAAAAATGTAAATAATTTATTAAAATACAAAAGATAATTTTTACTAGTTAAGTAAGTTAAGGTTAAATAAATAATAAATCAAAAATAATAATAAGTAAAAAATTATTTAGAAGTATTAGTTAATTTTTATACTTTTATTATTTAATTATTTTAAAAAATTACTTTTAAATTACTTGTAAATTATTTGTTGTTCTATATTAAATTATATTTATTTAAATACATATAAATATAATATAAATCTATATAATAAGTAATATTACTTAAAAATAATTATAAGATTAATTTGAAAGAAGTATAATACCAAGAAATGATAAGTATAATACTAATTTAATCTAAATAATATAATTTAAATTAAAGTAATATTAGTATTATATTAAATGAAATTAATTTAAAATAAAATAAATTTAGATTTAATAATATTATAATAAAATAAATAATATAATTTTAAAAAGAATTAATTGGTATTTTTGATAAATTATATTTAAATTAAATAAATTAAATAATTAAAAATAAAATTATAAATAGAAAAATATAAAAAAAATATAAATAATTATCAAAATTATATCACATAATATTTTTATATATAATTCAAAATATCAAATAGTGACAATATTCAAATAAATAATAATGAGTATATTTACTATACTTATTGAAGTAATTCTATATCTGATAAAAAATATATTGAGTATTCAAAATTTTAAAATTCAAAAAGTATTTATATAGTATAAAACTGCAATAAATTTGAAATAAGATATCTATTATAAAGTTATAGTTCTTAAAAAGAGCTTGAGATAGTTTCATTTTCATTGATTTTATTATATAAATAGATATTTATAGAGCCTAAATATTCATAAAATATCAATATAATTTGTATTTCAAATATTGTAGAAAATATCTGTATCAGTTGAAATTAAAATCAATTTGTAATAAAGATTTGATGTAGACTATATTTTGGTATATTTGTTATTTTTATTTGTAATTTTATCTCATTAAGTTTAATTATTACTTTTCTAGTTCAATACTTTTCTTTTATAATATTTATATTTATATAATTTTAGTTTAAAATAAAGTATTTAGTATATTTAAATATTATTTCAGATAGAATTAATAAAGTCAAGAAGTTTCTAAGTAGTTGTTTTGTTTTCTGGAATAAGTTTCTAATATTTTTCAATAATAAATTTACACTATTTAGAAAGATTATTTAGTATAAGTTATATTTTTTCATATCTAACACAAACTCTTTACCATAATTTTGCTCACTGAATAATCATTTATCTGTAACAATATTATATATAGCTATTCCAAAAATATAAATATCTGCAGCCTTAGTATTTAGTTTTTTATTTAGTATCTTTGAACTTATATAAAGAAAAGCTCTGCAAATTCTTAATTAATTTTATTTAAATTAGCTGACCTAAATTAATAAGTCCAAAATTAGCAATTTGAATAGCTTTAAGCTCTATTATATATATTTAGAGTGAAAGTTAAGAT